AGAATCTGCTTTCCCCCCCCCCCCCCCCCACCCCATGTGTCTTGTCAAGTTATAAAATGAATAAATGAATGAATAAATAAAATCTTTTTAAAAATCATAATAAAATCAAATCAATAATAAACTAGGAACCATTAGGTACCATGGTGATTGGGATGCTGGACTCCTACATGATCGACTGCAGTTCAAGTCCCAGACCCACAACTTGAAACATGCCTGGTGCATGTGAGTGCCCAAAATCCTGAGAGGAGAATAGAGACGGGATTGCAGTGTGGCCATTCCCCTCCGGGGGATGATTTCTCACTTTCTCTCTCTCCTCCCTGTCTATCCAGTGAACACTCACGCCCTATAGTAAAAATCTCTCCAAATAATAATAAACTTTTTTAAAAAGGCCCAGTTGGGACCACCAGTTAGCATAATGGCTATGTCGCTCGACTCCCATTTAGTCAACTGCGGTTCGAGTCCCAGACCCAGTGGCTTAAACTCACTCCAGGCACATGTGCATGCATGCCCAAGATCCCGAGAGGAGAATGGAGGAGAAGGGATTACGGCATGGCCATCCCCCTTGGGGGGTGATTTCTCACTTTCTCTCTGTCTCTGTCTTTCTAGCAAGCACATGTGCTCTATAGCAAAAACCTCTCCAAAAAAAAAAGGGGGGGGGTGCCAGCAAGTTGCATGGTGGTTAAGGCACTGGACTCCCCCATGTCCAGTGGGGGAGGACAGGAACTCCTGGACCAGGGGGCTTGCTTTCTCACTTCCTCTCTCTCTGGTGAGTGCACACACAAATTTAAAAACAGTAATAATTATTATTATTATAAGAAAAAATACATTAAAAAATAAAAAAGATAAAACATCATTCAAGCGACCAGCAGGTCCCAGAGAAGTTTCACAAAACACCAAATGTTGACAAATGAACGCAGGCCGCCATGGTCAGAGTTTGGGAAACTCTCTGGAGAAGACCCCGCCCCCGTTTTTTCTGGCAGGATCATTGGCATAGACAGGCCCCATGCAGGAACTCATGGAGTCTTCAGGACACTTGGAAAGTGGAGGACATGGGACCAGCAGTTGGCGTCATGGCTATGTTGCTGGACTCCCACCTAGTCGACCGCGGTTCACGTCCCAGACCCGGTGGCTTAAACTCACGCCGGGCGCGTGTGCGTGCGTGCCCAAGATCCTGAGAGGAGAATGGAGGAGAAGGGATTGCGGCGTGACCATCCCCCATGGGGGGTGATTTCTCACTTTCTATCTCTCTGTCTCTCTGGTGAGCGCACGCACCCTATAACAAAAACCTCTAAAAAAAAAAAAAGAAATTAAATAATAATAAAACAGTAATCATAAAATAAAAATAAGGACTAGAGGGACTGGACTGTGATATAGCAAAATGAGACCCTCAGTGAGGCTGACCAACTTGGAAAAATTCCAGTTTCCTTTCTTTTTTTTGGAGAGATTTTTTTCTATAGGGCACATGCATTTGCCAGAAAGACAGAGAGAGACAGAGAGACAAAGTGAGAAATCACCCCCTAGGGGTGATGGCCACGCTGCAATCCCTTCTCCTCCATTCTCCTCTCGGGATCTTGGTGCACGCACATACACACACCCGGTGTGAGTTTAAGCCACCGGGACCACACCCGGTGTGAGTTTAAGCCACCGGGACCAGGAATCGATCTATGGTTGACTACATGGGAGTCCAGCGACATAGCCATTATGCTAACTGCTGGTCCCAGAAAAGTTCTAGTTTCACATCCAGAGATCTTCCTGAGCATGCCAGGAATATACATGTTCTCATGATTCCATGCTGAAGCTACAGGTGGATCATAGCACCAAGACCTTGTTAATGGGGCCAGCAGGTGGCGTAGTGGCTAAGACACTGGGCTCCCAAACGATCGGACATGGTTCAAGTCCCAGGCCCAGCAGCTTGAAATTCATGCCAGGAAATTCAGTGTGCATGCCCAGAATCCTGAGAGGGGAATGGAAGAAAAGGAATTATGGCATGGTCATCCTCCCTGGGGGATGGCTTATTGATTTCTGTCTGTCTCTGTCTTTCTTAAAAAAAAAAAAAGAGATCCTG